GGGGGCAACTGAAAAGATAAAAGGGTCAGATTTTGTGAAATCAAGTCATCTGTGTCAGAAATTCTCTCTCTTGTAATTGTATGAAAATTTGCCTCTGATGGCAAACGGCATGGAAAAAAAAGAATGATAAAAGAAGAGTGCCGATAATGACTTAAAGTAAACATTTTTAAATCGGAAGTTCAATAATATGTTCAAATAAAGGGAGTTTAATCTTACTCGCTTCGTATTACAGGCTCCAAGTGGTGTCCTGGTTTCAGTTTCAAAGTTTAATTGAGGTTTACTTAAAATTTCTCCTCCTTTCACCCTTTGACTCTGTCAGAATCATGGACATGGCTGGAAAAATGCCTGAAACGTCAGAATTCGTGAAGTCAACTCAGATGATTCCGAAACTCGCTCAATTGTCCTTATATGGAAATTGTCCCTCTAATGGAAAAAAGAGATTCAGAAGACAGCCGATGTTGACTTAAATTATGTCTCCGTCTTTTAAAGTAAACGTTTTTAAACTCAAAGGTCGTCATCAAGTTAAAAAAAAAAAAAGACGAAACTCAATCGCTTGTTATTACAGGCTTCAGGTGACACCCATTACCGGGTTTCTCATGTAACATAGAGGCAATAGAACTGAAAAAGAACGATAAAAAGAAAGCTGATATTGAATCCAACTATTTATTTCCTTTTTTTAATTTTCAAGAACAGATTCTAAATTCAAAGCTCGATAATCTGTTCAAGTATAGAGAATTGAACATGACCACCTTATTACAGGTTTCACGTGGCCGTCGGCGTGTTTTCATCTTTAAAGGCCGACTAAAAATTTCGCTTCCCTCCGATTTTTAAAATTGGTCAGTCACGGTAGTTTACTTGATGCACATATGTATCTGAGACTAATTTGTTTCACTTGCCCCTCGACGCTGGAAAACAACACTTTCTGCAGTATTGACTTGATTATTGAAGAAAGGGGAGCCTTGCGTTAGATTCTTGAAACCTTGACGGTAATTTCCACTAAAAATCAAACATATGCAAGGGTTTATAGCACAGTTTGATTGAGCCAAAAGAAAGGCAATAACGGTGAAGTATTCGAAACCTCAGAATGCGTTTTCGGATCTGAAATGCTTCGGTAGTAACCAGTGGATCGTATAAGGAAACCAGCACGCTGCAAACCCCAATACAATAGCAACAGACGTCTTAAACACATTTCGCTCCCTTTTCCCGCGTTGTTGCTCAATGTTGGTTGATCGTTCGCCTGGTTTCTTCTGGAACTTGAGCCTAAAACAAATAACTGTGTAAAGTATGGCAATCAAAACGAATGGAACATAAAATGAAACGGTAAAAACTGCTTGGTTATACTTTTCTACCGATGAGCTGACGCCAAAAGTATCACTCCAATTTCGCTCGCACACTAAACCGTCTGGATACTCAACAAGTTTCATTGTGAAGAGATATGGAGACGAAACGGCCATTGCGACAATCCAAGTTGCGAGGATGAAGAAGGGGCACAGCCCTGGACTAATCAGTGGGGATCGGAGCGGAAATAGCACAGCCACAAATCGGTCCACTGCCATTAGAACTAAGCTTTCAGCAGACACAGAAACAGAAACATGGGGCAAGAACATTACAAGCTTACACAAGGCCAAACCAACAGGACCGCTGATCAGCCAAGGTTCAACAGTGAATAACGATGCCACAATCGGCGGTATAAGAAAAATCGGCAAAAGAATATCAGATATGGCCATATTGACGATGAAAAAGTTGATGGATTTTCTTAGAGTTTTGGTCTTGTAAAAAATAATTCCAATCAATAAATTTGCAATCACTGAAACTACAGAAATCAAGCTGTAAATAACAGTGAATCCGATTCTTCTCACTGTAGGATTGAAGCAAAATGTTGGCTGCGTACCATTTGTCGTTGTGTTAAATTTTTCCGACATCCCTGGAGATCAAAGTATAACTCCAAAGCAAAGTATTTGTTAACCGTAATGGCACTCTTTCTATGTCGGAGCGAAGTGTTCGATGAATCCTACGCCCTGAATTCACAAAACATGAATAAAAGCAATTTTATAATTAAAGAAAAAAACAAACGTGAGTGTGTGGTTCTCCACAGTCGTATTTAAAACTGCACTTGTGTTATCGGCGGAGAACTGACGAAAGCGTATGACTTGAGGTCCCAGGTGATAACACCTTTACCGAAACGTCAAAGAATCTTCCCGCCATGCATTACGTTTGATGCTGCTTTCTCTGTCTAAACCAATTTGATTTAGATGCGTGCTTCGGATAAATCGTCATGTGTGGTACATGTTTTATGTGAGTAGAATGACACAAGTTTTCCTCATCTTCATGGAATGTAGTTTATTTCTTGCTTAGTCATACTCAATACTAAAGGAATTTTACACAAAATATATTAAGTTTAAAGTTAATTTGTCTTGGGTTTTGTTATCCATTGACACAAATCAATTACCAAATTAATCATTTATAATCATGATTCCGCTGAGAGGAGACAGAAAGAAATTATGGCATTTCAATAAATAATCCTTTTATATTCTTTTAAACAAAATTGGGAATTTTCGTAACGAATGGTGTCGTACTCGGAACTCTCACGTCAGTTAAAATAATTTAGCGCGACTAAAATAGTTTTAAATTTTAGTTGAAATAAATTATTTACCTATATCAGAACGAGCTTCTCTTCTTCACCTCGTGTCATTTAAATTTGGGAAAAGTGGGAATGTTTCAATCAAGGTGAATAATGCCCAGGGCCACGTTATTCAAAACCAGATCAAGACTTTTCCTGAGTCGACTACATACAACTCATTGACATGGTAGAATGGTTGCCATGGAAGTTTAACCTTGCGTGCGCTGTGATTGGTCGGGAGATTACACCATAATTTGCATCATCTTGATGCTAGCAAAAAGTAGAGTAGAGGCTTCCATCTTAAGGGAATTATTACCTCAACTTCGCCACAAACTTTGAGTTAAATCTCCTGATTGTTTCATTTCTAAAGCGGATTATTAATTATGGGAAATTAAAGATAACGTTGGTTGAGAGTGCTTTCGTGCATACGAAAAATTTTTCGATTCTCAGCGAGTAAGTGTAGTAAGGAGTACGTCAGTCCACTTCGTCCACTTCGCCTACATATTATGTTCCTGCAGAAGACAAAAAATTCAATAAAAAAATGTGTATTACAAGAGCTAGGTCATTTGTTTGTCCATTTTCAAAGTTAGCCTGAATTACTTAAGTTCGTCGTGCTCCCTCCATCCACAACCATCCTTAACATCCTTACTTTATTATTGCATCTCTTATATTTTCGAATCTTGATGACCTTATAGTTTGCATAAACCAGTCTTCTTATTCTATTTAGAAAGGTGTTGTTCGTCTTGTCACGAGCGTGGGACAGTGAAAAAAAATCTGAAACTCGAGAAAAACCAATTTCGCGCTCTTCTGCTCTGCCACTGAGCCACGGAGAACTTTGTGATAAAGGCCGTCACTAGGATCACCTTTTACACGCATCATGCAAACTGTCAAGATCAGCGATGTAAAAAGCGTCATTTAGGTAAGCAAACAAATAAAAGAATGACTTACATACTTTCCAAACGTAGCTCCCTTACACAACCTCAGTAACTACCCAACATCTTCTTCCCCCTATTCATAGCCACTGTAACAATACTCCTCCAAGGCCTTACCATTACTGAAGGATAAAGATTCTTTTGCAGCTCCACGCCAAACTGGGCCTCCCACGGTTCCTTGATCACTTTGACCAAGGAGGAAAGGGTGGGGAATGTTTCTGTCTTCAAAATCCACTGACTCTCGCCGTTCCCCACGGGGGCGTCCTGTACAATAACAGTAAAGCGACCATATAACACTCCCATTTTAATTGACTTACATTGGTTAGCCTGCAGTAAATGGTTTGAACCCGGGGGTAACATGTGAAGGTGTAGTCTGATCGTCCGGGTGAGTGTAGTCCTGAGAAGGACTGTTGTCGGTGGTAGTGACTGACGTTTCGACAACTACCACCCTTCTCAGGACTACACTCACCCGGACGATCAGACTACACCTTCACACTGTGGCTTTATGTACACAAAAACAGCTTTATGCACAGGTTGTCGAAACGTCAGTCACTACCACCGACAACAGTCCTTCTCAGGACTACACTCACCCGGACGATCAGACTACACCTTCACATTGGTTAGCCTGTTGAATACCGCATCACTTATAGTAATAATAGTAAAGCTCAACATGACCGCAATCGTTAACTTCCTCATTGTCCTTACAATCCCTGACCATATAACACTCCCAATTTAATTGACTTACATTGGTTAGCCTGTTGAATACCACATTACTTATAGTAATAATATTAAAGCTCAACATGACCACAATCATTAACTTCCTCATTGTCCTTACAATCCCTGACCATATAACACTCCCACTTTAATTGACTTACATTGGTTAGCCTGTTGAATACCACATTACTTATAGTAATAATAGTAAAGCTCAACATCACCACAATCATTAACTTCCTCATTGTCCTTACAATCCCTGACCATATAACACTACCATTTTAATTGACTTACATTGGTTAGCCTGTTGAATACCGCATTACTTATAAAATCTTATTGTTAGTATAAAAGGCTATCAGTGGAATTTAACCAAGTTATACATCCAATTTGCTCAGCTTTTGTACCAGCTCCTACTCTTTGCATTCTTGTTCAAATAAGTTACTTCAAGTCCCGAGATCTAAGCTTAAGTCTTGTGGTGATCGAAGATTTTCTATTGCAGGACGTAAATTATGGAACAGCAGATATGTATCTTTAAGAAATGCCGATTTCTTGAATTATTTCCAAAAACACTTAAAGACATATTTAATTCGCCAAGCCTTTTTCGATTTGTAAATATATTTCTATTTAATTTCCATGCTTACATATGTAGTTGTTAGATTTTTCAGGTTTTTAATACATTTTGTGATATTGTTAAGCGCCTAGAGCAATTAGTGATATAGAAATAAAGTTTATTATATTATTATTATTATTATTAATTTTATTATCATTGTTTTATCAAATATCATTATTGTTTTATCAAATATCATTATTGTTTTATCAAATATCATTATTGTTTTATCAAATATCAATGTTGTTAACTGTTATAATTGCAGTTACTATTATTATCATTATTGTTAGTCATCGCCATTATTATAACTGTTAACATAATTATTATTATTATTATTAGAACTTTTAATGCTCTTCACATTCTTCTCATTACTATTATTATTTTCATTTTCATCTTCTCCCTTAAAGCTCAAGAAGTAAACGTAAACGAAGCGTGTTTTTTCTTAAATCTTTTAGCAGACATTTTAATGTATTTTTTGATATATAAGGTTTTTATCATAATTTTTGTCAATATTTTGGTGATTTTATTATTATTATTATTATTATTATTATCATTATCATTATCATTATTATTATTATTATTATTATCGTTTTCCTATTATTATAGAGATAAGTAGGTGTTTGATCATGGTATTATTGGTATCAATTTGAACTTCTCTTCGGACGGGTGTAACATCGCTGTTCTACTGGTAAAACCTTACCTCGTCTGTTATACTGATCCCCATAAAGCACGAATCATCTTCAAAAAAATCCTGTGAAAACAGCAAACGTCCAGTATAAAATAATCAAGTGTAGCTGGCGTGTTTCGTTGCCCCATTTCATACTCAAGATGGTTCCATAGAAAATAACTGTCTCCAGATACCCCAGTATATATATTTTTTCCGAATGCGAGTCTGTTTGTAATTTGCCGCAATCAACTAGGTTAAAGGATAAAACGTGACCACCTTCCTCACTCTATAACCCATCTACCCAATTATTGACCAAACTCGCTTAAGACTGAGAGAACCAAAACCCTCAACAAAATTACATACCAAGCTAGTGACATCGGTGATTTTGTGTCGGGCCAAGCACACGAACGCTGGGTCCTTGAGTGGTTGGGATAGTGCTGTGTACCGAGGAACGGGCCACTGAGGATTCTGTTTGACAATGGCTATATGAGACCGCGATGCAATCACGCTGACAGCATTCAAGCTGGAATCTAGAGGAAACAGGATGATAAATCCTTAATCAGAGGGAGAGATCACAGTGTGAACTCTCATGCACTGACAGACGAAAAAGTCTAAACAGAACGGAAGTCTTCAGTTTGGAAATTAAAGGAAAGCGCAATTGAGGTGAAAAACTCGGAACAAGTACTGAATCTGTCTTCTTGCTTTGCAACAGGAATAGCACCGGTTCAAACGTTTGGCCCGGCGAGCCATGAAAATGGGTCGAGCACAAAAAAATTGGGATCAACTGCGAAATTTCCTGGAAAAATAGTTTAAGGAAAATGACAAGCAAGAATGTTTGGTTTGACCATGGTTTGACTTGCTCTTCATCAGTTTTCTTCTTTCTTTCTTTAAAGATAAAATTTGAAAATTTGTTTTCAGCTATGTGATGAGACTAAAAGCAGCACTTTTATAAGATAAGAGTTGTCTTGTACATCATCTTCCTGAGAAGTTTACCAATAGGTGTACTGGATACAGTTTTTCTGACTCGCATCCAAACAGGAAGTCATTGAACCCAGGCTAAATTCTGTTAGGATCTTTCAATAGCGATGACAAAAGTCAGGTTACACTGCAATGCCCTGGGATCCCTTACCAGGTCTCTCCGTATTTGAGCAGCGAAAAGCCATTATAAACAACACTATGTTAGAGTCCATGTCAGGGATACTTTCACCAGCGAAGGAATCACCTGCCAAATCATTTCTCTGCGTAAGTGAAGAAACAAAATCATTGTTAATAGAGAGCTGAAAGATAGTAGTTAACAATAAGGAGGGAGGGTGGGGTAGTTAAAAACTCTTTTAAAACAGGTTTTCTTGGCCTGAAACGACAAAAGTACCGCTTAATTCTTTTAAGTAAGGGTTTTGTCGGAATGAAGAATTTGCAGTAGTAGTTTCCGATAATGCGTAAAGTAATTCTCTCTTTCTTAGAGGAGTACGAGAAAAAAAACCGTTTTCTCCTCAGAACAACACCATGATCCGATCAAGGCTTGAATCTGTAACATTTTTTCCAGAGCCCAGTGTATTAAATAAGATCACCGAGTGCTGCAAAGAAATCTCAAATTTACCTGCAGAATCACGCTTTTTGCAAGAATCGACTAAGTGAAGTAAGGCCTTGTAAACACCTCTTGTTCTTCAAGTAACAGATCAAAATAGCCTACCTCGGTGCTAAACCTGTAATACTGATCTTTGTCTTCAAACACTTGCTTTTTGGACACGTGCTCCAGAGCTCCCACATTCAAGAGTAACTGACCGATTTCTACACCCTGCAAAATTGTTAACGCTTGCTCACAAAATACTTCGATAAGGAGAGAGATCCGTCATCACATAGCATTGTATCACGAAATACTCTATTAACAACCAAAAGAATTGATTTCATTACTTCGCCTTAATTTTCAATAATCCTACTGACCTCGACTCTGGTTTCTACTTCTTTAACGTGAATCAACCAGTCCACAAACTCCCTGCCCACAAAACAGCTTGAATAGGTACCTAACAAACTCTGTTGTAAAGAAAGTGGAGGCACAAGGCCAGTAGAAGATATCAGTGATTCTGAAAAACGAACCAGGGACCATACCAAAGCTGGACATGTCTTTAAAAGTAAACAGAACGTTTCACTAACCTTGCGATCTTTTATCAATGGAGGATCAACGAAATGGACGGCCTGTTGATGTAGTCGCTCTCCCTATGAAATGCGCAAAACTTTCCTCAGACTAATAACAAGAAACCTGGAGAGATTGTAACTGATGTGTGCACATTCTGGATATAAACATTTCTGTTTCATCATATACACATCCACTCGGTTAAACCCATGAGGCAGTTTTATCAAAAAAACTTACCATTAAAATTGGATCTTCCGGTCTTATCTTAAAGACTTGAGACCTGGGAGAAATTATTATTACAAGTTTAGTTTTGAGATTCTGGTGATGTCACAGGCCAATTAAACAAGCGTGGAAAAAAACCTGAAAAAACCTACTAATTAGCGACAAGCGGAGGACACTTGCAAGCCGTGACAAACGCGGAAAGTAATGTAACCAGCGACAAGCGCGGGAAATTATGTAACCAGCGACAAGCGCGGGAAATCATGTAACTAAAGACTACCGCGGGAAAACATTTCATCAGTGACTAGCGTGGGAGAGCAAGTGACCGAAGAAAGCGCGGATAACTTGTAAAAAGAAAGAAGAGCGGAGGACATGTAACAAACAAGTTGGATGGAAAAATACCTATACTTGAAACGAGCGCGGGGAAGTTTACCTGGACAATAAACAGTGACATTCGGCGAAAGGAAAATTTCTTTGGCTTACTAGATGCCACGGCATAAAATATACGTCATATACTAAATCAACTTACCTAATGTGCGCCAGCGTTTGAGGATGAGGCGGAGAAACGACAACAGGTCTAGAGTCCGCCTTCGTTTTGGCTTTATGCACAACATCTGAAAGGAAAGTAAAATAGAAAAAACAAATACGATATCCACATTACACAAAGTTATCACCTGTGAAGTGCTAACTTGCCACAAAACGAAATCGTCTTAACTAATTAGGAAAGCAATGTAAAGCAGGAAGAACCTACAATGACGAATAAGATTATTGAGGCGCAGTTCATATCATTGTATTTTCATAATCGGCATTGTCGTATAAACTGGATTTCACTATTTCATAGCTTAAAAAATAATATCTTACTTGTAAACACATTTAGGAACTCTTCACAACGATCTTTGTCACGGACCAGAAAATCATAACACGCACCTTGAGCGGAGAATTCAAGACGAAAACTCTGAGGAGAAAAACTGTCGCTTTTCAGCACCAAGACAATCAGGTAATATGCTACTTAAAAGTTGCGAAAAGTTACGAGACTTGAAATTGTCTAGTCTCCTTTACAGCCGTTGTTAGGTCTCGTCAGGTCACGCAATCGGCATTCCAGGAGAGAAGGCTGCTCGGGGCGGTGTGTGACGACCCAAACGCGGCGTGCGTTTTGAAACGTGCGTGTGCTGTCGGAGGTGGTGGGGGTGGGGGAGGGGATTCATCTAACACCACGCCAAGCGCACACCTAGACACAAATTTTCAAAAAGTGTCCCTTGCGTAACGTTTTCACTGTTGGCAACTGTGCAGAAAAAAGTGCTAGAATAATCGATTTCCACAAGCGCGATTCTCATGAAAAAATACTTGTGAAAGGATAACATGACAAAATATCCAACTGAGCCAATTGTACTCAGAAATTTCGTTAATTTCTGCGCTGAAACGTGTGGAGGGGGGGGAGAGAGGATGAGGGTTCGGCTGCTCCGCTGCCTATGAAACCAAAGGAGACTTGCAGCGGTTGAACGTGTATTGATATTTACCTGACTACCGAGTCCTCTATCAATGAAATGCAAACTATCTAAAGGATGAGATACCAGTGGTGTGAGGCATTCATCGGGTGTCCCGCTAAAACAAAAAAAACAAACAATGTTAGCATCGAGTGACACCCCAGTGAAAAAAAAAAAAAACAATGCGAGCATAGAAGGGCTGACCCAAGAACAGAACATAGCACATAACGACCAGACAAAGACTCTAACCTGGAATCTGAGATGCGGAGCTCAGTGTGTAAACCACTTACACACCTACACTTCAACAAATACGATTCATTGTTTGTATGTTAGGGTGTTTGCTAAATTTTTTTACATATTGGAGGATGATATCCCCTTGTACTTGGTTTTTCGATGATCAACATGTGATTTCTCCCGGCAATATCCTCACATTATCACGGAAACAGGTTATGAGATTACAGCGTAATTAGAATAGTATAGTAATATTAGCATAGAAGGGCCAATTCATTTTTGGAATGCTAATAAACTATTATTACTATTATTATTATTATCATTATTATTATTATTATTATTATTATTATTATTATTATTATTAGAAGAAGTTGATATCTTGATCTAATAACGAATTCTTGTAACTGATTTACAAGGAAACGTGTAGCAGCTTGAGCGGAGAATTAACAATCAGGTCTTAGAAGTTTAAGGGTTTAAGGCAAAAGATAAACTACCGGTGGTTTGAGCGGTTCTGAGCACTTGGTTAACACAGTACCTTCCTCTGACGGAAAATCTACAAAGGTAGAACATGTTACTGGATACAATCATAACGGCAGGTGTTTCTTCAGTGTCGCCATAAATAACAACTGGAGCCTAAAATCAACAAGTACACTTGATTTACTAAAAGACAAAGAGAGATGACACGTTGATAGTAGAGCAAAACAAAACATCTGTCTCAGGCCAAAGAATGCGCCATACAGAGGCCACAATGACGAGACCCCCCTGACGTCTCCCATTCGATCTCCCCGCTACCCCCTCTACCCAAAAAACAACAAAAAAAATTCGTGTGGTTGAAGATACTGTGAAAACTGTCGAGTACGGGATATTTTCTAAGGTCCGCTTATTAAAGGATGCTTCTTATCACACGTTTGAATTCACGCACTGAAATAGAAAAGCAGGCCACTACGCTAGCAGCCATGGATAGCTATTTCGGCTGTGTTATCATGCCTCATGCGCACGTCATAGCTGAGAAGAGATGGCTTATGGGTTCTTATGTGAAGGTTATGTAAAGGAGGTAGGGGAATTAAAAATAGTGCACTTTTAGGGGGTGTTAAGGATGATAAAGGTAAGGGTGCTGTAGAAGTTGTGTTTCTTCTCAAGTGTTCTGCGTGAGGAACCTCTGTCTTAAAGTGCACCTAAACCCAAAACCTTTTTTTTCGCTTAACGAAATAAGCGTATTTTTAGAGTGTTTCTTAGCAAAATTTTTTTTATTTGCTCAAATCTTCAATTTTCTCTGCCCAGTCAAAATACGAAAAATTCGGCCGCCATCTTACCCCACGACCGAGTTTAAAGAGGACTGGCTCTAGCGGGTAATGTGACGTCAAAACACGAAAGTCTGCATTTCACACATTTTCACTTGTTTGGGAAGGTTGTAGTCGATTTTGTCCGAAAATATGCCGACTAAGTGTGTTGTAGGAGGATGTAGCAACGTGCGAAATTTGCAAGAGGGTATCGCGCTTCACAGATTCCTCATACAACACACCAAGTCGGCATATATCGACGACAACCTTCCCAAACAAGTGAAAATGTGTGAAATGCAGACTTTCGTGTTCTCGATTTGACGTCACATTACCCGCTAGAACCATTCCTCTTTAAATTCGGCCGTGGGGTAAGATTGCGACCAATTTTCCGTATTTTGACTGGGCACAGAAAATTAAAGATTTGAGCAAATTAAAAATTTTTTGCACAGAAATACTCCAAAAAATAAGCTCACTTCGTTAAGCGGAAAAAAATTCTTGGGTTTAGGTGCACTTTAGGCCTCGCAAATGAGTAAAAGAAAAAACATATTACCTTCAACAAGCAACAGAACCTCTCTTTGCTTCCCCACCGAAACAGCGACACTTCGAAATACAACTTCAACTTGTGATCGCAATTTGAAAATTCATCCGCCGTTAGGCGAAAGTTCAAAGCTGCATTAGGTTCGATAACATTACAACTTGGAGTCGTCGGTCGGGAACTTGTACCACTCGAACTGCTCCGAGAATCCAGCAAGCTGCTTGGACTAGTTCCAGGCTTTAAACGATTTATCAAGTTATTAAAAAATAGTTTTGGCGTAGGCGTTCTCGGTAAACTCGAAGACATTTTCGTTTGTTGAGGAGTGCTTTCCGTCGATTTCGTTGGCCCTCTGTCAGTATTTACACTTCGACCAAATTTCCTTGTCACAGGAGACCTTCCGCTTGAATATTGTTCTGAAATTTTCCTTGTTGAAGTTTTCGGTGGGCGTTTTTGTGCCACATTTGCGGTGTTAGTTGGCAGCGACTGGCTCATAAACTCACCACCCTGATCAGAATCATCAGACTTCGATTCGAGTGGTGTCGATGGACGGTTGTCAATCATTACGTCAGCTTGTTTGCTTCTACCCCTTGCAATACCATTTGAATTTTGAGCTCCAATATTATAAACATTTCTACCCGCCTGGGTTGAAGAAATATCGGGGCGTGGAGGTAGATAAGAGTTACCCGACTGTTTTAAGGAACTTGTTAAAGCACTTGTTCTTATTTGAGGCGAACTTCTGTCCTTTATCCCATATTTTTCATTCTCGTTCACTTTAAACCTTCCAGAGTCTTTGACTACATATTTTTTCTGAACGTTTCCGTTTCCAGAGGAAGAATCTTTGCCATTTTCGATCAAAATTGTCTTTCCTTTAGTGTTGGTGCACAAGTCGGGTACAGTTGGAGACTGATCCGAAGACTCTGTTGACTTTGGAACAACATCAGGGTGTTTTGCAGCACCAATTCCATTCGTTGTAAGCCTATGATATGAACCATATTTGCATATCAAAAGTAAGTGTTCCTGCTTTAAGAAGAGTGTTATTTGAGTCTTCGATTGCCAATCACTAATCGCAAATGTTTTAACTTATAATCCCATTAATTCACGCTTGGAAAGAAAACCATTGCAAAGAAAAAAAATCAATTTGAAAGGTATTTGACGAAAGAACTTGCCACAGAGCATTTTATAATCCGCCCTTTACAGTCAGTTTCAAAACAGTGTACAGACTAAGATTAAAAAAAAAAAAAGAAAAGAAAAAAAAAAACACGACATACCCTTTATCCTCTGCTGACGTAATCTTCCAGCCTGTTTTCGCTACTTTCTGAATTTCCTCTGTAGCTTCAACGAAAGACGATGAGGAAGAAGACGATGATAACTGGTGGAGAGGTGTAACAGACATGTCGCCATTCAAGGTCTTGATAGAACTGACGTTCAGTTTGGATGCTTCCTTGTGCTTTCCTACCACGTGTCCAGTCACATGGTCGAGAGTGAAAACCGGTTCGACCTGAATTACGGGCGAGGATACTTGAACTGTGAGAGAACTGCCACAGTCAGGACAGAATGCATCATCGGAATCGACTGGTTTTCTGAACTCCGCCGAACACTTCAAGCACTGAAATTCATAAAAAAAAAATATATATATATATATATATACATACCTCTACAATTCATTAAAAATATTACTACTGTATTATTAAAAGTAAATTAGAGGGGATAACTGGTTTATGCATCGTGAGAAATCAGCTACATTTCTCAGGTTGGTCGTTTGGAATGCGTGTTAATCTAATCCATATTAGAACTTCCTCGAAGTCTCGCTCGCATATAAATGAAAGAGAACATATTTTCTCCAGTAAGTCCTGTAGATAATTACGAAGGACGGAGTGATTCTCACAAGTGAACTGTGATAAAGAAAATTGCAGAAAAAGAACCTCGGCCCCTAACATGTGGCTACTCAACTCAGCTGGTGATGATGTTCAAGATGTCAAAGCCTGAATTTTTCAGGCTTTTTCAATATCGTAACAACACAACAACGTTTTACTCAGGAGGGTGGGGGGGGATTTATCTTAAAGTATATCACTGCTCGTGTCTTCCCTTACCTGTAGACGTTCAAGAAAAACTTTTCTCGTTTCTCCCTTTGCTGTAACAAAAGGTTCCAGGACTTCTGCCAGTTGCTATAGGAGAGGAATAACTTAATATCAAAGACATGTTGTTGAGAAGACTTAAATACTTGAATCTTATT